CCCAACCTTTGCTTGTTGCAACGGTCCTGCACTGCATTTCTTACTTAAAGCCATCATAAAGCTATAAGAACTTCCTAGATAAAATTGGTGTTGATGGATTTTTTTTTTTGATCTACAATAGTTAGAATTACAGTGTTCTATTAATAACAAGCAGTAGCAACAGCTCAGGGGTACAGTAAAATCTCTAACTGTGCATTCACACCGAAGATGGCGAGAGTGTCCAAGTTCACTTTGGCTGTCCTGGCGACAACGCTGTCTGCTTTCACAGCGGCTAGAGCGACAAAATTCGCTACATTGATCTCTATTTAAAGAAGCCGTTGCAGCAAATCAGCAAATCACTTACATACCCGCATTAAAAACCTGCTTTTAGTATGACAATGTTGCGTTCCTTTTATCAAATTCCTTTAACTGCAGAAGATCCAATTGTTGCTTGTGGTGTGTAATATTCTGAAGCATCAATACTGTTTTGTACTGTCGTTAGTTGGCATAGGAATCCTGTTTAAAAAAAGTATATATAACATTAATAAACATCAGTAATTGGCCAATCATTTTTTAAATTAAGTCCCTGTAAAAACGAACATAAATAATTGGAAATCCAGCGACTGCAATAATTAAACTCCCTTGGAAACAAGTGTGGTCGGAACCAAAGTTTACAGGACTGTGTTTTTTGGACTTCTACATTCCAATTGCTTTCTGCTGAACCACGTCATAGCTCATTACCATAAAGTTGACTTGATTTCAACTCTCCTCGGTGCCCACATTGGCGAAGATGCACTGCTCTCTGCCGGCTCTCATTGAAAATGAATAATTCAATTCAATTCAATTCAGCTTTATTTGTATAGCGCTTTTACAATGTAGATTGTGTCAAAGCAGCTTCACATAAATGGTCATAGTAACTGGAACAGTGTGGTTCAGGTTTTAGTGTTTAAGTTCAGTTCAGATCAGTTTAGCTCAGTTCAGTGTGATTTAATCATTACTGAGAGTTCAAACACTGAAGAGCAAATTCATCGATGCGAATAACTTATGGCTACTTTGACGCCCTCGATGCCTTCGGTGTGAACACGCAGTAACATTTGTAAAACTTTTAACATTATCCCTGCAACCATTGGAACACATTGGTAACCAAAAAAAAAAAAAAACTGCTTGAGCAACTTGAAAAAAAGATGAGCAATTTCCTAATGAACACCAAAGTCCCTTTAAGGCAAGTCATTTCACTCAGCGGCCATCTTTTGAAACGCTTCTCGGGCAGTATTTTCGGGCATTCTGTCTGAATGGGAAAACATCAAATTCTTCAAAGCTGTTTGCCAAGCTTATGATTACATTATATATTCTGAATAACCAGTAGAATTAAACAACAACTGTCGCATAAATTTAGTTTCTAAACGTCCGAATTCTGCAAATTTTTTGGTTCCCCAAGCTAATACGCATGCGAAACGAGATCATGACACCAACCTCATTTATGGCTGTTACTCTTTATCATCCTTTGAATAATGATTGCCCGATCTTGCTGGTTTTCTGGAGTAACACACAACTTGGTCTTGATGGTGAATCAGAAATGGTAATGACTCCTTGTTTACAAGTTTGTGGGCGTTTGAGTAGTTGCTGTAATGTGATGTGTGTTTGACAGGATGGACTGCACCTCGCGTTAGTTTCATACAGACTACAAAACCAGAAAACTTTGCTTTTAAGTGCAGTTGGTTCATTTAAAAGTACAGATTTCAAGCTTTATGTGGATACCTTTCTTAATGTTTGTTTGTGAAGCAAGTATTTGCTGAGATTCCAATGCATTTGTTGACCACCAAACTGTTGTAAAAGCACACATCTGCTCTGAGTTTCTCCCCCCCGGTGAAACGTCAGTCTATTGCGATCGATGATTGGCTCCTATACTATTAGGCTGGGCTTTATTCACCATATTGCATATTGCACCATATGCGCACTGGCGCCGTTGTCCTGTGGCAGCCGTCGTATCATCCAAGTGGATGCTGCACACTGGTGGTGGTGTGGAGAGACCCCCCCTCATGATTGTGAAGCGCTTTGGGTGTACGGCCATACAAAATAAATGCGCTATATAAATACACATTACATTACATTTTGACGTTACACTTTCCCCCATTCAAAACTATGCGTGTGACATGTCTTGTGAATTATATATGCTTATTTCATGGGGCCGCCATTTTAAAGATCGAAAGCGAGGCTTCGGTGGGAAGAAATCCAGAAGTATGGGATCAGCACTGTAAATATTGCAACAACATGCTGTGGACTACAAACCTCCAGCTGTTGCCGCGATTTCAAAATGCAGATATGGTGTAAACATCACTTTAAAATCATTCAGTTCAGTTTCATTTAAACAATTAAAAGCATTTTAGGCATCAAACAAAGTCATAATCTCTTTAAGAGGAATATGCTTAAGTGTTTGGGGACGCTTCTCTGCTTCAGCTTATGTAACCCCGGTGAGCGATAAAACGGTGCAGTCCTCTGTAGCACATCCTCGTGTTGTCTGTATTAGTGTTGTACCAGCACTGAAGTTGTAAAAACGTCCATTTCCCTCTAACATTTAAGCGCCACTGAGCGCATTCATAAACACAGCTGATTTGCCATAATATTCACCAGTACTCCACCAGTAAGTAAGGTTATCAGTTCACCACTCTTTATAATGACCTTCGCGGCCAATCACAGTCATTTCTCTTGAGCACGTGAACACAATGGCAAATCAGCGATGTTTAAGACACCATCAACAGTGCCCAAAATCTTAGCGGGAAATGGTTGTTTTTAAAACTTCAGTACAGAAATTTAGTATGGTGACAAGTCTAATATAGTGAAAGAATCAGTTCATTAACTTGAGTTTGATAAGTGTCATCTAAAACTTGTTCGGGAAAGAAAACGTTAGCTAACTAGCGCCATTTCCCTGAACTTAGCTGAGAATGAGGTCCGATATCACTTTTTATTTTCAGCATTCTTTCAGAACGGACCTTCTGGTCACTCGGAAGGCGGTGAAATTATACATTTTGTCGCTTTCTCTTCACTGATTAGATACACAGCCATGTACACAAGATTTCTATGTGACTCCAAGCGATACTTCCGGATTTCTTCCCACCGCAGCCTCTATTTTGCTTTTAAAAATGGCGGCGACGTGAATAGTCTATAGTCTTTGTGAACACCCAGGATGCCATAACCCTTAGCAACCACCTATAGCAACCACAAAGAACTGTAAAACCCTTGTTACGGTGATCCATAACAGTAAAACCTTTGTTACGATGGTCCATAACATTAGAGCAACCACTGCACTCTTCCAATCCCCCAATCATTGTGCTGGGTAATATCACATGGACAATCACCAAACACATTTGCTTTTTTTAAATGTATGAAGTTTGCTTTATTATAGTCCATTCAGCTGATCTAGCCCTCCACATGCAAATAAACAGTAACACATATGAGAAAGTCAGATTTTGACTGATAAATAACTTTTAGTAGACCTCAGTTATTTCTTCTCTCCTCGCCACTCTTTCTTTACTGTAATCCATCAGCCCTGCTGAGGCTCATGGGAAATCTGCCCTGTCAGAGAGCTCTTTTTTTTTTGCAGTGACGCAAGTCTGTAATTAGATGAATTGAGCATGAGTGAGAAGGGACTGCTGGGAATCTGCGTCTATTACAGTGAAAGGACCACCACAGGACCCTGTCAGAAGATGAAGACGTGAGTGTGGAGCAGAATGTGCAGGATTCTCCCACTAGTGCCGTCAAAGAAATAAGACTCCCAGCACTCTTTCCTTAACGCCTCTCACAGGAGTCCCTTAACTAAGAATAATGTCTGCATGTAATTAGATGAATTGAGCATGAGTGAGAAGGGACTGCTGGGAATCTGCGTCTATTACAGTGAAAGGACCACCACAGGACCCTGTCAGAAGATGAAGACGTGAGTGTGGAGCAGAATGTGCAGGATTCTCCCACTAGTGCCGTCAAAGAAATAAGACTCCCAGCACTCTTTCCTTAACGCCTCTCACAGGAGTCCCTTAACTAAGAATAATGTCTGCATGACTAATTGCATTGAGTTGCTGCCATGCGATTGGCTGGTTAGAAATTTGCGTTAACAAGCAGTTGGGCAGGTGTACCTAATAAAGACTGTATTTAGTTGGTTCAATTTAACTTCTAAAGTCATTAGACGTAATCAATGTTCAAGAAATTACAATGACTTTGGCTGCATTTGAAATCGCATACTTTCCTACTATACAGTACGCTAAAATCAGTATGCAAGCCAAGTTGTATGTTCGAATTCATAGAATTCGAAAATCAGTATGTGAGAAGTACCCGGATAACCTACTACTTCTGGCGAGATTCTGAAGGGTGCATCCCATGAATGCATCGCTATCCCATAATGCCCCGTGAGAGAATTCATGAATGAGAGTGAAGCCACGCAACTGATGCTGGTAGGCCACGTGGCCATGACAAAATGACGGATGTAGTATGTCCGAATTGTATTCATACTGCTCAAAAAGTAGTACGATTATATTCAAATGAAGTACCTACTGAGTAGTAGGCGGTTTCGGATGCAGCATTTGTATAACAACGGTTAAATCAATATTTGAATGGAGCAGAACTCTTCACCATTAGTGAATGCGTGTGGTGTTCGTATCCCACTGCAGTGCTCAGAATCACAGCTGTAAGCCGACAGATCTGCATTTGCTTCTGTCTCAGTCTGTCAGCTTATTGAGAGTGAGCTGAAGACATGAAACCCAGCCTCTTCTGAGCGTCTGCAATCATTTGTCCTGGATGCTCATGTTTGTGAAGCTCAGAGATGCTGCTATTATCCATAGTGTCTGACTGCTCACTCAACCGTGTAATAGACTTTAGGAAATGGCATTTCTTCATTTTTTATTTTTTTTGCCCATTCTGAATGACTGAAAGGATGAATGTTTTTACAAGGAGTTCTTATATGCTACAGAAAAGGATATTCTGTTATATTTGATAATTGTATAACTCTTTTTTTTTTCATGTTTGTCTTGCAGCTCTCCTCTACAAACCTATTGACCGGGTTACTCGAAGCACTCTAGTCCTGCATGTGAGTTTCTCCATTTACAATGATATACATTTACTAACCTATTATCACTAGCACATTCAGTCAGGTCTACCATTATATTTCAGCACAATGAAGCTTGTTGGCTTCCCAGTAAATCTTTACAGTATTTGTACTGAGGGTGAATCTTATTATTGTAATTAAGTTAATGTGAGTTCATATTCGGTATGAGTACTGTAGAGATATAATTGAAATCAGTCAGTAATCAGTCTGGGTTTTTTTGCTGTGAAATGTTGTCTTTACATGTTCTGAGTAATTTGTGTATGTTGACATTTTAGCCATTTGCTGATGTCGTAGTCATTCCATAAGGCTTATCAAATCTATTAAAATTTCAGTATCAATGTGTCAGACCTATTTACTGTACATTAGGTCTTTATATTTCTAGTTGTGGTTTTCACCAAGGATATTATAATCAAAACCCAAGAAAAACACAAGCTGCTGTATAATATTCGAAAAATGGATGAATGTACCTTCGATTAGGGCTGTGTAATTAATCGAAATTCACTTGCGACTTTGTTTTTGCCCTCAAATGATTATGAAAAACTATACTCGAGAAAAAAATGATTATTCAGTCAGTCAATTTAAGGACTTTTTGATTGTTCATTTGTAATTTTTGTTTTACTTTAGATGTTTTTGTTTGTTTGTGTGTTTGTTTTACTGAAAAATCTATTTGATATATCTTAAATAAAATTTAAATAAATCCATCAATCCATTAATCAATCAATCTTAAAATGCCCTGGTCTTATGGTCCACTCATAATTATTAAAAATATTTGTGATTATATATCAATCCAAAATGTGACATCTACATATTGTATACAGTACTGATGAGAAGTTTTGGGCACTAGTGTTGTGAAAAGAGTGAGTGTGTGTGTGCCTCGGAAAAAAAAGGGTATGCCATATTTATTGTCAGATCTTGTGAAACTAATTTAATAAATTACTACGTTAATTAGTTCACATTTGGCACAACTTGGTATCTTACTTTTATTTTTATTTTAAAGGCTTAAAAATGATTGATCTTAGGCTATCATATGTGCTTTATTTTTTTAACATTTAATATTTTATTTTTTTGTCCATTTGACATAACTCTACCAAAAAAATATATATACACATTACATTATATTTACATTACTTATGTACATTAATGTACATATACATTAGCTTTCTTGATTAACAGCCACTGTGGCTAGTAGTTTTCCAACATTACTAACCACTCACCGTTTTTACTAGCCACAATTTTATTGTTGGGAAAATATATTTTATGCACATAAATATGACTTTGACATGCTAAAATTACTTGCTTTAGATTTTGAATAAAAAAAATATAAAATAAAAAAAAAAATAAAAAAAAAAAATAAGGAGGCATGTGGAGATAACATTTCACTTTTTGTGTGTCGTGTATGAGCTTGCTCAATAATCATGAGCAAACGGGTCATGGTTTCATAGTTTTAATAACTAATTTCTTATAACTGATTTCTTTTAGCTCTGCCATGATGACAGTACATAATATTTTACTAGATATTTTTCAAGACGCTAGTATTCAGCTTAAAGTGACATTTAAATGCTAATTAAACTAGGCTAATTAGGTTAACTAGGCAAATTAAGAACTGCTTTTATTCTAGCTAAAGCAAAACAAATAAGACTTTCTCCAGAAGAAAAAAAATATTACAGGAAATACTGTGAAAAAAATCCTTGCCTTGTTAATCATTGTTTTGGAAATACATATAACAAAACACACAGAAGGGCTAATTATTGTGACTTCAACTGTATGTTGTCTGTTTCAGGACCTGTTGAAGCACACTCCTAAGGATCATCCCGATTTCCCCTTACTGCAGGACGCTCTGAGAATATCCCAGAACTTCCTGTCCAGCATCAATGAAGAGATCGACCCACGCAGGACTGCCGTGACCACACCAAAGGGAGAGGTGCGACTGTGTTTATGAATGAAGTCTGTTTAAGGCAGACAGTTCCTTTATAAGAATAACTTCACAACTTCTTTATTAATAGCATTTGTTTCAGAACCTGTTTTTATGTGTAAGCATTTATAAACTCAACAGTCACACTTATTTAACACCAAAACTATCAGACCAAGAGTTTGATTTCAGTCAGTTAAAAATAACTTTTTATAACTTGAATGACATTTAAAGGTCCAGGACACCCTGGAGAACCTTTTTTTTATATTAACAGATGTGTGTGTGTTGAGCATCAGTTAAGACAATGTTAGCACCTGTCAGCTTTAATTGTGGGGAAAACTGGATAATTTTGAGCTTTTGTCAACTAATTTCAGCTTCCGGGTTTAAAATGATTTTTGGGGCGGGATCAAAATCGGCGACGTAGCGAAGTACCGCAAGTGCAATGATGACGCGTCGGTTTCTCATTATTATTCATAGCGGAGTTTTCTTATCCTATGAGAAGAGCCTGCTGCTTAATTATTCATGAGAGCACATGCTTTCTGAAGGCAAGGCCGACCTGCCAGCTTCAAGCAAGCTGTGAGACACGGACCCACCAACGGCACGCAGTAGCCGTTCATGAAGGCTCGTATGTGTTTGTTTCCATGATCCACGGGGTTTGTTGCATGTTTTGTCCCCACCATCTTGTCAGGGCCGATCATACAGCAATGCTGTGTGTGTGCTGCAAGCATTTTTGTCGGGAGAGCAGTACGAGAATTGAAGAATGGCGGATGTTGACTTATCAGGAGTTAGTTCACATTCAGACACATCGTCGTGCTGCTGTGTTTGCCTAAATCCTCTATATTACCAGCAGGGCTAATGGTTAAAATAGGCAGGTCAGGAGACCTGCTGCACGAGTCTGCATTCAGATCTATAATATAGACTTGGGGATCGAGGAAGAAGCCTCATTTATAGTGTTTATATGAACACACTTATCTTTATAATGATATAAATTGTGGATATGTGTATATGAAATTACGAATAACAAATGTAGCAGGGCATTAAATAACTGTTTATTTCGTTGCATTTTAACTTTGTGAACTATAAACTCATGCGTCTCCTCACGGTTTGTGTCTCATTTTGTGAGCAAACTGTCAACAACAGTCGTTCGCTCCCCTTCTCCCCTGCTGGCCACGCCCACTCCTGCCCTATGCTTGCGGAGCTCCACGCCCATTAATCATGCATCTTTTGAAAAAATTCTGAAGTAGACTTTAACCGAAAGTGGGGGGTGTCATGGCCCTTTAACAATGTTTAAAGGAAAAGTTCACCCAAAAATAAACAAAGAACAGAACAAACACTATTTACTTGTTCCAAACTGTTTCTGGAGCCCAACTTTTTTACAGTGCATATGGGAGTTGCATCAGCCATATTGTCACCTTAAAATGATAAGGTTCTATCTGACATTTTTGTCAAAATGGAGTTATTGACATATTCTTATTAAATGACAACTTGTTTACATTATGGCATGTTATTTTAATAGGTTGTTTACATTTTAAGACTTTTTATTTAAAAGTGTTACACGCACACTGCTTGATATATGGAATCCAAAAACTTTGAAGCTCAGTATCTCAAAATCATACAAATCTGTACATCAGCACAATCTCCACCTCGCTTTCATTCATCCCCTTTATTTGAACTAAAATAGTTTTTCGACCGACCACAACAGTGTCTATGATCATTTAACCTTTGCCGCCTGATGGCTCTGTTGAGTCCACAGGAAGTAAAAAGTGGGTGTTTTTGTCTCCGTCAGGCTCGTCAGCTGGTGAAGGACGGCTTCCTGGTGGAGGTGTCGGAGGGAACGCGTAAACTCCGTCATGTCTTCCTCTTCACAGACCTTCTGCTCTGCGCCAAGATGAAAAAGACCGCAGTTGGGTATGATCATGGACACACACTTACTCACACACTCACTTTCTCTTTTATTTTATGTTGAGTCCACCCATGCATTCATCACTGTACCGGCTGGTGTTGGATGGAGTGTTTCGAGGGTGCAGTGCTGCAACCTCATTTGTCATACTTGTTTTTATGGTGGCTAAGACAAATACACTGTAATATTGAATGATCGCTGCTGTTAACCTGATGCAGCTCTGTGCTTATACCATCTGCCCTTAAGAGCATCACATATGTAGGCTGAGATTTCCAAAAGAGTAGAAATTTTGTGAGTGTCTACTAATAATACACATATTGAAGACCATGGACGCAGCAACTTTGGTCACACTTTATTTTGATGGTTTGTTTGTTGAATTTAGGTTACATTGCATCTACATGCAAACTAATTCTCATTAGATTATAAGCAGACTGTTAGGTTGGGGTTAGGGTTGGAGTTAGGGTTAGGGTTGCCATGTACAGTACCTGCAAAGTTTCTTCTAAACAGTTAAATGTCTGTTGAAGGAGTAGTGAAAGCAGGCATTAAGCAACAGTTTACTAATACTCAAATGGACCATGAAAATAAAGTTTTACCCTACTTATTTTTTTACATATGACCAGAGCAGCACATAAAGCGGAGTGAATTAGGTAGTCTACTAATAATATAGGTAATCTGTCGTTAATCTAATAGTTGTGCTGATCATGAGGCTCAGAAGCAGTATTGGCCGATATTGATTCACATCACCAATCATGAGGTCAATTTGAAGCCATCAATTTAATTTAATTTGGTCAGTTTTAGTTTGGTTTAGTTTAGTTTACTTTAATTTTTTACGTTTTTAGTTTGGTTTGGTTAGTTTTTGTTTTGGTTTACGTTTAGTTTAGTTTTTCTTTTGTTTTTTGTTTAGTTTAGTTTAGATTTGTTTTTACGCATTTCGTTTGGTTTTAAGTTTTGAATAGTTTTGTTTGAGGTTTAGTTTTTAGTTTTTTGTTTAGTCTTAATTTAAATTTTGTTTTGTTTTAGTTTTTGTTTCCGTTTACTTTGGTTAGTATTGGTTTTAGTTTTGGTTTACGTTTAGTTTAGTTTAGTTTTTTTTTTTGAGTTTAGTTTAGGTTTTTTTACG